CTCTCCAAATTTGACGTGATTCGTTACCAAAATGCTATTCCTTTCTCTAGATTCTTCTTCGTCTTCTTTTTCATTGGGTTAATTAATAATTTGTTTTTAAAGCAAAAAGAGGTTTGCGATTTCTCTTTCTACTCAAGCCAGTCTAGTCTGTCTATTACCAAATAGTTTATACAGTAAGCGTAATCGAGTCGTGTTCTTGGTAAAGGAGGAGCCTTTGGGATTGTTGGGTCTAATGAAGATTCGGGTGAAGCAAGCTACGATCGTGAAACCAGCTGAAGAAACACCCAATCACAGTCTATGGCTTTCGAATTTGGACCTGATACAAGTGAGATTCCACATGGGTATTCTCTACTTTTACAATCCTTGTTCCTCTTCCAATCTTCCCAACATTCAATCCCTCATTGAAGCTCTGAGCAAGGTTCTTGTGCTCTTCTATCCTGCAGCTGGTAGGCTCCAAAAGGGTAAGACTTTCGATGAAATCGCCTCAGATTCCTCTTATAATCAATCTTTGCTTCTCAAATTCGGCTTTATTCGATGATTTTTTCTAACCATGTGTAGTCCTCTCCTGTATTTATTCTCATGTTTTATGTTTCTTTGTGCTTTATATGTTGTTGGTAGATAAGAATGGGAGGTTGGAGGTTCGATGCAATGGAGAAGGAGTTTTGCTTGTGGAAGCTGAGACTGATTCTACTATACAAGACATTGGCTTACTCGCTCAAAGGTTGGATCTCTCACAACTTGTACCTACTCTTGACTATTCACAAGACATCTCCACTATACCTCTTCTTCTGTTTCAGGTTAGCTTTCCTCATCTGAAACACTGAAAATGCTTTGTTAAATGTTTAAAAACTATACAGAAATGGCCACTGTGTGGTGTTAAGTGAACTTTCATAGTCTCTTAGTCTGTATTTTGAGTCTCCTAAGTACTGCAGGACAACGTTTGATCAGTTTGGATATCTTTTGGCTAAGCTCATGGATATTTTGTCATTGTCTCATTAAATAGAACTGTTAGTTAAAGCAGTTTATCAGCAAATGTTTTCATATTGTTACATGGACCCTATGAAATAATTTCTAACAGATAAGTACTGATATTTTGCAAGGTTACATATTTCAAATGTGGGACAATCTGTATAGGGAATACGATACACCATACATTCGGGGCAGCGGCTTCTCTCGTGTATTTCATGGAAGCTTGGTCTAGAACTGCTCGGGGACTTCCAGTGAAGCTAGAACCGTTCTTCGACCGCACTATACTTCGTGCACGGGACCCTCCCTCCCCTGTCTTTCCTCACACTGAATACCAACCACCCCCTTTTCACAACCCTCCCGTAGAATCACTTGTTTACAGATCAAATCCTGAATCTGATTCTGCAGTTGCCAGTCTCAAGCTCACACGTCTCCAACTCAAAGCTCTTAGAGCTAAGGCAAAGATTGCTGATAGTAGTAAGTTCAGTACATATGAAGTTCTGGTGGCGCATATCTGGCGTTGTGCTTGCTTTGCAAATGAAGGTAATGAATTTATTTTGTTGTAAAAAAATTCTCTGGAGCCTAAAAGCATAAGACTTCCTAAGTTCCTTTACATGAATAGAGTTCAGCTCTTAGACCTACAAAGGTTCTTACTTGACACTTTGTTTTTGGCCCACAGATTTAACTGAAGAACACTCGACAAGGTTGCATATTATAGTTGATGGGAGGTCAAGACTACGACCAACGCTTCCACAAGGATACATTGGGAACACTCTCTTTCACGCTCGCCCGATATCACTGTTGGGTGATTTTCGTAGAGAGCGTTTCAGTACAACAGTGAAGAGAGTTCATAGAGAAATAAGGAAAATGGACAACGAGTACTTGAGATCAGCGATTGACTACTTGGAGAAACATCCTGATCTCGATCAATTGGTTCCTGGTGAAGGTAATCCAATCTTCAGCTGCGCGGCAAACATGTGCATCGTTAGTATACCAAGGAAGAACGCTTTCGAATTGGATTTTGGATGGGGAAGTCCCTTTTACAAGAGAGCTTCACATTTGAATGAAGGAAAGGGCTTTGTAGATACGAGCTTAGACGAAGAAGGAAGCTTTCTGGTGTTCATGTGCTTAAAGAAGAGACAACTTGGTAAGTTTCAGAAGCTCTTCTACGAGTTTCTCAATGTGTCCGCATTGTGAGCTTTTGATTGGTTTTTAATTTTTTTTAGTCCCACATCGATAACTTGACTTGTGATTGGGAAAAGTGTAATAGTATAAATAAAGAGGCCACGAGACTGAACAATTCATACCTTTCTCGGCCTTTTGGCTAAGATCAAGTGTAGTATCTGTTCTTATCAGTTTAATATCTGATATGTGGGCCATCGGTTCACACGATATTAACTCTATTTTTTAAGGGAGAAGGCCCATCAAGATAGCTTGCTATCTGGGCTTTCACGAGTCGTCCATGCGTTGCACTACTGCACGGGCCAGGCTCAACCCGCCAAATTATTAAGTCCAAATCTTAAAATTTAAACGGGCCTAAACGAATATTGAGCTCACAGAATCATCATGAATAATGATTAAGTCGGTAAATAGATAATTATATCCTAAATATGTGGGCGAGTTTAAAGCATAAAGTATCATTAAGATATCATTTTAATACTACTAGAAACTTTTGATTAGTCCAAACTTGTTTTTTTATAAATAATGCAAAAAGGTCCTTTGCACGTTTTATCGATTGGACTTTCGAGAATATATCTATCTGGTCGCTTTACAAATTCGTGGCGATCTGAGATTCTCCGATTTTCCACCATTTCCCTCTTTTCCGGTGGAAAACTCTAATCGGAGATTCACCATAATCCGTCGTTCGATCTCGTTCTCCTTTGTGGAAAATTACAACATTGAACCAGAAATCAAAATCGAAACCTCTTGGGGGAATTTTGTGATCAGAGAGAATGGTGGAGAGAACGATGAGTTTGGGGGTAGGAGGTAACAATGGAGAAACCTCTGGGGTTAGAGAAACAATGTGGGCACAACAAGAGCTTCTTCAGAAAATCAATCAAGAGCTTGACGCTGAACGCGAAGCTTCTTCTTCGGCTGCTTCCGAGGCCTTATCGATGATTCTTCGTCTTCAAGGAGAAAAAGCAGCTTTGGAGATGGAAGCTAGTCAATACAAGAGAATGGCTGAGGAGAAGATGACTCATGCCGAAACCTCTCTTGCTCTATTCGAGGATTTGATTTACCAGAAAGAAATGGAGATTGCATCTCTTGAGTTTCAGGTCCAAGCTTATAGATGTAAATTACTCAGCCTTGGTTGCTCTGATCCTGCCGTTGTAGAGAACAGATTCCCGGAGAATCTCATCTTCTTCGGTGAAACCTCATCTCGTGTGAATCAAAAGAGGAAAATGAAACGAAATCTATCGGTATTTTCAAGCGAATTTGAGCAATGGGTTTGGTTATTAACTGTATAAACTAACTCCATGGCTATATAAATAAAGATCATATCTTTTTCGTATCTGTTATCTTGTTGCAGAGTCCATTCGATGTAATGACCAGTGAGAGAAGTCCTATTCTGTCTGATATTAGTGGTGAAAGCTTTGAAGATAGGAAAGGTATTGAGACTTCTTTATCTCCTCGTGAAGATTTGAATGCTTATTGGGAACAGATAAGGAGAATCGATGACCATGTTCGAGAGATTTCGGATACTAGAGAAGCTCCGAAAGAGACTAAATTCCCTTTGCTTAGGCGTGAGTCTTTGTCACATGCATTGGTGTCACAGGTTAGCAATACGATCCTCGAGTCAGCTAAGAGCGATGTTAGTTCCATAATGGAGATGATGAAGAACCCTGATAGATTCTCTGTAAAAGATGCATCTTTAGAGACTTTGACTCCGTCTCCAAATGTTCAAGACATTTTTGAGGTTCCTAAGACGAAGGAAGGCCTTACAATTATCTCGGAAGAAGAGGAACCCGAAGATAGAAATGTAAGTCATCATCTGTATATAGTGAACTTATTATATCTTGCTTAAGCAGTTTGATCAAGTGTCTAATATATAGAAAGAACTCACAGGTTAGAGGCAAGATGGTGACTAGTAATTACGAAAGAAAAGCGAGTAAGCCGCCAAGAGATACAAGCATCAAGGGAGAACATTTGAGTTTGCTAAAGGAGATTCGAGAACAGCTTAATGTAATGCAGTCAGAGATGAGAAGGTTAAGATCAGAACTGCATCAATCTAAACCTGTGTCTCGTCCCCACGAGGATCGTGCCCTTAACTCAATTCAAGAGGTAGTCATTGCTCATGTTCCTTACTTGTACGAATGCCTGAACTATATTCGGAACCTGATAACATGTGCTTTGTATTTCTTGAACAGGCAATGATTCACTTCTGGCTTTAGAAGCTACTATGCAACATGGTTCGAGGTTTCCATACAGACCATATGTAAGTTACTTAACCTTTCAAGAGGATTTGAAGGGATGTAAAAATCAAAAAACTGATAGATTTCAGAGTAAATCTATGGTATATTGTATGTAACTCCATTGTCATTGCGAGAACAAAATCGTAAATCTTTCCCTGATCTAAGAGACATTGATGGTAAAAGTACCTCAAGTTGATCCACGTACAATAGGACAATGCAGGCTCATTCAGTTGGAGGAGCTAATGCAGAAAATGCAAGACGGATTTTTAGAACTATTATCGAGATCAAGAGTAGTGCCTCTCAAACACTTGAAGTGGTAGACATGCCCACAAGCAAGCACGCACGACTCTTGTAAGCTGATCAAAGAACCATTAGGCCGTTCTGGATCCGTGGCTAGATCTCTTAGGCATAAGTCGCACGAGTGTCCAACTTCCTCCGCAACAAACACCTTGTCTAGCTCTGTAAAGTTCAAAATTCCCACATAAGAGAGAACAATGAAGAATCAAGACGAGATTGATCAAGTATTGGATCAGAACTTGATACCATCGGTAATCCGTAATGTGGCATTACTCGGATTCGCAGTCGTCATCATGAGAACTTGTTGGATTTCTTTAGAGAGATTTTGAAGATCAGGTGAAATCGAAGCGGTTGATCCGGATGCTTTGGCTTTCTCAATCCTCTGTTGAATCGTTAAGAGCGCATCTCTCTTCTTGGTCAGACTCTCTATATCCTCTGTTTCTTTCGAATCCATGTTCCTTACTCACGCACAAAGAAGACGAAACTTCTGTAATCGAAGACAAACAAGCAAAGTCAATCTTTGTTTGACTCTTGGTCCACTCAAAGGGATTATGAAACTTGTGTACGAAGAAATTAGGTTAACAAAGCAAAATACAATTAGGGTCTACCATTCGGAAAACATGGATCGTAACGAAATTTCACAAAAGATTACTGTAATTTCATAGTCTCCCATAGAAAATCGTTCAAAACTTTGACTTTCATAAAGAACAAAAA